AGAGAGAGAGAGAGAAAAAGACTGATAGAAAAATAGAGAGAAAGGAAGAGAGAGAGAGAAACTAGATGGTATGAGAGAGAAAGTAAAAACGAAGAATAAGAGAGAGAGAGAAAAAGAGTGATAGAAAAATAGAGAAAAAGGAAGAGAGAGAGAGAGAGAAACTAGATGGTATGAGAGAGAAAGTAAAAACGAAGAAGAGAATGAGAGAGAGAAAAAGAGTGGTAGAAAAATAGAGAGAAAGGAAGAAAGAGAGAGAGAGAGAGAGAAAGAGAGTACTGGAGAAATAGAGAGAGAATTACAGAGAGAGAGAGAGAGAGAGAGAGAGAGAGAGAGAGAGAGAGACGGAAAGGAAAAATAGACAATGCGCTCGAAAAGATTCGCGACGCGACCGACTTCCGATTCGGCTCTAGCTCTGCTTCCCGAAAGAGAAGGGACAAAGGAAAACTGGCTCCTCCTCGGCAACGTGTCGGCGTTTTAGCTGCCCCTTTGCCGCTACTAATTGACTAGCATCGTTAATCACTCTCGGCTTGAACTCGCTCGCTTATTTCGCCTTCGACTCTTTGGTAACGAACTTCTCGCTTCCTCTCTTCTTCCTCGAGGAGGACTGGGGACGCGATATCGGGCCCCGGAGGCGGGCCCTTTGCCGGCAGTGAAACGCGGGCCTCGAGACCGCAGCGCGCCGCCCGCCATTTTGGTTCTACGCTTGCCGCGAAATGGTGGAGCTTTGCGGCAGTTTTGCTTTTGCGATTATTGGCGAACGCTCTCGCTGAACTGACAGAAAATCTACCTTGAAATATACACAATTCTTTCACGCATATTTGCATCGGTTTGTTGTTTGTTTCGAGGCTTCGAAATGAAGTTTTCAAAGAGATTTTGTGCAGCTCGAATTATATGTTACCGAGTTGTCGGATAAATTTTGTTGAGATTATACGAGATTCCTGTTGTAAATCGACCGAACCAATGTGGTCAGTTTTTTAATAATCTGTTCTTTGAATTGTTTAGGATTTTTTTAAGCGGAAATTTTACCGATTTTTCGAGAAAGTTGATATATCTGCGGTTTCGAACATCGTGAAGTTATTTTCGTCGGTTGCTCTAATTTTATGTTTTTGATTTCCTTGTTTTTTTTTTGGTTGTTTACAATCTATTATATTGTATTGTTCATTTCCAATAATTATGTATAATCCGGTTGCGTTGGAATATGATTTTTCTTTTTACTGTATTTTGCAGAAAAAGATTGTGCTATTGTTTGTCAGTTTTAGATTTCTGTTCAAACGAAACCAACTTTCTACGGAATTATTCGGTTGTTCTGAACATTTACGGCGATTTTCTGTCTTCTGCAAGAGTGTTCTGATCTAGCAATAAGTATAGTCCACCATTTCGCAGGCATTTTGTCTCGGAAGATTCCCAAACTGAGATTAAACGTAACAGTTTCTTATAAGATTCCGAAGATTTCTGCTATGGACCATGCAAAATGATTCCTTCTCGTTCAAATACACGGTATAAAATTGTTGTTTGCTGTTTGTAAAGTGGTCTGGCATTAAAAATGGCGGATAGAGCAGCGAAAATTAAACGATTTGCAAGAATCCTCAAGTTTTGATTCAAAAAAGTGAAAATGAGAAAGTGGTAGCAAGAAATGGTATAAACTAATAACATTCTTCGCCATCTTGGATGAACATATAACTTGCCTGAAGATTCAGTACTTAGTACGATTGTTTAAACAAATATAAATGATGGTGCATTCAGTGAAAATGAAATAATTTGCGAGAATTACCTACTTTCGATTGAAAAATGAAGAAATTGTATAGTGGCAACGATAAATCCCACAAGCTGATGAACTTGCCGCCATCTTGGATGAATATTATAGTTGCTTTAATACTTGTTAATTGGCACGGTCGTCCAAAAAATGAGTAAACGATGGACCCAAGGGCTATAAATGAAACACTTTGCAAATTCCGCAAACTTCGAACTGAGAGAAAACAGGACATAGCAAGAAATAACAGAAGCCGACGGCTTCTGCCGCCATTTTGAACTTCATGGACGGTAGAAAACCCGAGCGCAGCTGTTCTAGGGAATAAATAAACAAGACCGCCACAAATGGAACAATTCGCTAGAATTTTAAACCTTGAACAGAGAAAAGCGAAAATATCGAAACTCTCAGCACCCGAGGGCTCTTTCCGCCATTTTGGATCAATACCATCTCTACGAAAACCTACCGCAGTTATCCAAAAAAACAAATGAATGTCGCAAGCAACGGAAAAAGTCATTCAATTCGCGACAATTCCGAATTTCCAATGAAAAACAGAGGAAGAAACTGAACGTGGCACGAAATCCCAGAACCTGAAGACTCGATCCGCCGTCGAAAACCCATTCGACAAGCTCCAATCTCAACAGAAATGATATTCCGACTGGTGGTTCGCGGCAGAAACCGTGGGAATCTTCCAAAAAATCTCAGCTTGCAAAACCCGCAACTGTGAAAATGTTTGGACAGCGACGAAGAGAATCGATCGGACAGGAGGGACGCGACGATCCCGGCAGCTGAAGGATCGGTGTCGCCGTTCGCCACGAAAGGAAAACGCGTCGTCCTCGTTCGTAGATCGAACGATAAAAATACTATAAAAGGTGATCCGTGGGATCGAGTGGCGAATCGACTTTCGCCGATTACATTTGTACGACGAGGCGCCCCGCCCTGGATAGATTGCTGGAGCAGCAGCAGCAGTAGCAGCAGCAGCAGCAGCAGTAGCAGCAGCAGTAGCAACCGTTCCTCGGGTTTCTCCGCTCGGAAAAAAAGAGGGAACGGACAGAAGAAGAGAAAGAAGACGGAACTCGCCGAGCGGACATCGAGGAGATCGACGAAAATCGGCGTCGCTCGACGCCCCGTACCGAAAAAACTATCAATAAATAGAATGAGCTCCGCCGGGAGCACCGACAGTAATCGCAAATAAGTTAAACAACACACGCGGGACGAAATAATGGCGCTGAGAACCGACCTTGCAAACGCACCGAAGCTTCGCCGCGAACGGGGCTCGCGAATTTCCTAAAATGCTCTCGAGAGTTGCGTGGGCCCTCTTCGATTTGGTATTTTGTCACTTTTTATTCGAGCTAGCGCCAATTTTCTGCGGCCAGAACGCCGCCTGGGTCGAGCTGGAGCACGAAATGCCCTCTGAGGCCACCGCTGGGGCTGCGGGCGGCCGAGCCACGCCCACTAGGGGCGGCGCTCAGGCTAGCTCGCGCTACTAGCGGTCGTGCCACGCCTACTACGGGTGGCGCTTAGGCTCGCTGGTGCCTAGTGGTCGCGCCACACCCACTATAGGCGGCGCTCAGGTTCGCTACAGCTGCTAGCGATCGCGCCACGCCCACTAGGGGCCGTTACCCGCTGCGCCACGCCCACACAGGGCGGTTCTTCCGGAGCAAAAGGGAGATAAATAGGTTTCTAGTGGAAATCGAAAGCTTTTCTCTTCTTAGATGGTATTTGAAGTTAAAGATTGCCATCGAGGGCACTATTTAAGCTCCAGAAGAACATTCGTTGCCCAAATTCGACCTAGTAGCGTTTACAAGCCGTAAAAATTGGCGCTCAAATGAACTCTTGCTCTAGCGAACGACTTGAATTTGCTTAGAGCTTTTCGGAACTCGGGCACCGTTCGACCAAATCCGACCTAACAGTTAATCTTTGCATCTAACGATAGTTTTCGTTATAGAAATATATGGATTAATTTAATAAAAATAGTTTATGTATATTATACAGTCGAGTTACAGATTAATTTCTTCGATCAATTGCAAAAATTGCAGAATATCAATGCAACGATTCGACCGAACGGTGCTCGAGGCTTTCGGAGACGCGACACTGTAGGGATAGTACCCGTTCTTGAATCAGTATCTTTAACGAGTGAAACTAGCTATTCTGTAACTTTTCTTTTCCTTTAATTCGTAGGTTAGGCACTTGCGCAAGATTACTTTGTACAAGCACAATGGTTTTAGAGATATTAACTAGTTTCGCGCGAGGAGCTCGGCTAGCGTCCTAAGTTTGGCCGCTAAGTGCGATAGCGTGGCAAGCGCGAGGACTGTGATTTTAATGGAGGTGTGTTCGGTACTATAAAAAATCAAATTCCAAAGGTCTAAATTAACTTTATGCCGGCAAGATTGGCTGCGATGCTTACTGAATATTTTCAAATAAACGATATCAATTGTTTCGACTGTTTCGACCACGATATTGTTCTTATCAATGCTTCTAACTAAAATTGTGTACACGTTTCATTCCAAAGAAAAAGAATAACCGCATCGTCTTATCGTTCGATTGTAGATCTTTATGCATGCACGACGTGTGCTGGCGTGACAATTTAAGATTAACAAAAATTCGTGACTGATTAGCGGAAACAATCTTTTAATCGGTGCAAGATACCACTCTTTTCTACTAACATTGTTAAGGCGTTTTATCTTAATAAAAGAGCGCCAATGTTACGCGAGCGTCAATGGTTTCATAATTAGCAGATTGCGCAAGAAGAAACAAATCAAGAAAATGCAAGAACATCAACCGAGAATTTTTACCAAAATGAATCTTGTAATTACTGCGAGAACTTTTGCTCTTGTTTCATTAATTCAGACAGCGATCTTAACCAAAAACGATCTTTCGATTGCTACAAAACACCGTCCCCTTTCTTCCCCGTTCAGAAACTAATCCACAAAATCGAAACCCACATTCGAACATTTCTAAACGAATTAGCACACCCCGAAAAATTCGCAGAAAAATCCACAATCAAGATATCGCCGCGCCGAAAATAATCCACGAAAACGAAGCCGTTTTCGAACATTTCTAAACGAACAGCACACCTCCAAAAATCCGCAGAAAGATCAAGATCTCACCGGGAACACACAAATCGTCGCGAAATGCCAGCCAATCGAGCCACCGAACGACGCCATAAACGACGCCAAGCCGGCCCCCCCTTGACCGCCCCATAACGGCGTCGGCGAAATTCCGAAAAAAACATAAAGCACCCGACGGGAGCGGAGGAGGTTTCTCTAAATCCCCGGGGAGGATCTCTAAATCCCGGAGCGTCTGCGCCCGTCCGGCGAGGATCCCACGCAAATCCGAGAAGCACCACCGGCCGCAGCCTGTTTACGATCGACGACGCAATCTCTCGATCACCGGACTAGATCGCGCGGCCAACCGATCCCGGGTCTCGGTCCCGCGTCAGCCTCGTTCTCATTCAGCGTCCTCCATTCATCCCCCATTCACCCATCGCACGCGATCGCCACCGTCTCTCATCTATGTACAAGTGGTATTTACAGTTTTCAGTGGTATACAGGATAGACCGAGGAAGCAGCGTCGTCGAGAGGATCCGGCGACCTTGATCGAGCACGCGCCAACGCCGAAGAGGAAGGCGGAAGAGGAGGCCGGACGGAACAGCTCCGCGACTCTTTGGGATCTCGAGCACCCCGCGGGACGAAAGTAGATCGATCCAGGTCGCTGGACCGGCCGTAGGAGGTTGGTTCGTTCTCGTCGAAGTCCGCCGGGATCGAAGGGGGGATCGACGCGCGGCTCTCTTTGGTTTCTTCGGTCCGTCTTCGTCACGCCGGAGGTATCTCGAGGGGTCTTTGGTTTTCTCGGCGGGCGAACTTCGTCCCCGATTACCATCGCGCCGGCCCCTTCTTCGCCCTGGGTGCTCTAATTAACGCCCTCTGCCGGAGGGGCGCCGCGCGCGCGCGGTTTTTGCCGGCGCCGAGGCTCGTGAGAAATCGCGGCGCGCCGTTCCCTTCGGCCGATCTCCTCGGCCGGCGGCGTCCATCGGCGCGCCCCTTTGCCCCGCCAATGGGCTTTTCTTTCGCTCGGCTGGTTATTCAATCCCTCGTCCCCGCCCCGAACACGTTTCCCCGCGGATCTCCATATTCCGATCGACGGCCATTACGGTCCCCTTCCTCCTTCTGCTCGCGTTTGTCCGCTCGCCGGAATTTTCCCGGCGATTATTCCGCTTCATTCATATTCGATCGGTCCCTCGATCGCTCCTCGTTACCGATGCCTCGAGTGCCGGCCCGTTTCTCTCCGCCGCGAACCCACTTCGGGCGAGCTGCTTCTTCTTCTTCGTCTTCTTCTTCTTCTCCTTCTTCTTCTTCTTCTTCTTCGGCAACCGGAAGCCGAGGAGCTCGCACCCGCTCGGACGGAGCGGCTCTCTTCGTTCCATCGAGATCGCGGCGGCCTCACCGAGGCTCGCATTCGGCCTCGTCCTTCGTGTTTCTCACGGCCCCGTTTCTACTCCCTTCCTCGCCCCGTTCGACTCCGCCGTCGTCGGCCCCGTCGTCCGCTGATCGTTCGTCCTCGACGCGCCGCTCGACGTTCCTCGTCGCTGATCGCCGGCGTTCAGCTTCGCGTTACGTTCTTCTAGGCTGACCGTACGCGAAGCTGACCTCACGTCATGGATAGTCCGGGTGCATCAGGTTGTACATGATCGCGAAGATCGTGCAGGCCGCGTACACGCCGAGCGCCACCCACCAGAGCAGTTGTTCGTGCAGCCGTTGCTCGAAGTTCTTCAGCACCAGGAGGCCGATCGTCAGGCCCGCCAGGGCGCCCGTCAGGTGAGCCACGTACGAGACCGGCGGACCCATCTGCTCCGCCGCGTACCTGTCGTAAATCGCGAACCCAACGTCCGCGCTCGCTGCAAACAGAGACAGGGTTTTTCGTGTTGGAAGAGTCGCTTCGTTGGAAACGATGGCAGTGGGGACAAGTGGCCAGCAATGGGAAAGCTTGAACGAATGATTTATTATTGATATATTATAATATGATATATATATATATACATATATATATATATATATATATATATATATATATATATATATATCATATTATAATATATCAATAATAAATCATATATATATATATTCCCATTGCTATATATATAATAATAAAATAATATATATAATATATAATATAATATAATAATATATATATTATAATATGATATATTATTTATTTATTTGGGTGAACAGGTTATGGGTAAGTCGGTAGGGCGGCTGTCTTTTTTTTATCGAGACACCTGCCATGTCGATTTACTCAGAATTTGTGCTGCTAACGGGCGTTAAATCGGTGTTCAATTATTTGAATTTTTTAATTAAGAAATAACTTGATCGGTGTTTTTTTTCGAGACACCCGGTATAATGAAGGCGGTACTGTAAAGTCTCCCTAATTGACGCTCGGATTGTACACAGAAATGGACAATTTGGGAAGCGGAGATACGATTATTTTATTTTCTTATTATCATTTTTATTATTTTTTTTATTATTATTATATTTATTTTTATAGTCGCCGATTATATCTCCTCTTCCCAAATTACTCATTTTTGTGCGCAATCTGAGCGTCAATTGGGGAGAATTTACTATGCTGGATGCGTATGAAACTTTAAATCCAACTTCGAACGCGTGTAACTTTTGAACCAAGGATTTCCGCGCGCTGGGACTTGAATTTTTGGCGTCTCCTCGACAAAATCTACGGGACTGTGCCTAGAAAAGCCAAAAATCTCTGGACCCGTAAAGTAAAGTTTAACCATAAAATTGAATCTGGCCTCGAAATCCGTGCCGACCGTGCACTAAATTGTGAACATCGTAGCAGCAACTGAAGCCTCACCGATCACGAAGATGCCTATTAATCGTACGATGCCGAACTCCATGTTGTTGTAGTTGAGAAGGACGTTGGCGAGGTGAGCCGCAAGAAGAGCATAAACGCCCCCGCTGGCGCCGACGAGATACACGTCCGTGTCGAACACCGAAGTGCCAAGGGAGCCTGCAAACGTAACAAGAAAACCCATTGTATATCGTCTACGGATTATAGTGCTCCGGTTGCTTGCGGTAATATCGTCCTCGGTCTATATAGGGTGTCCCGACAATGTCTCGCAATTTGGAAATGAGGGATTCCTGAGGACATTCGAAGCAACTATTTCCTTAGCGAAAATGCAATCAGCGGTTTAGTTTACAAGTTATTAGCGAAAAACAGTGACCAATGGGAGGCGCGCTCGGCTGGCGCCAGGCGGCCCAGCCAACGAGCGCACGAAGCACAGTTCCGCTCATTGGCGCGGCCGTCTCGCGCCAGCTGATCTCGCCTCTCATTGGTCACCGTTTTTCGCTAATAACTCGTAAACCAAGCCGCGGATTGCATTTTCGCTCAGGAAAAAGTTTCTTCAAATGACCCCAGGAACCTCCCATTTCCAGATCGCGAGACATTTTTGGGACACCCTGTACACACGTCGTAATAAAAATTGTGGAAGGTTCAAATAATTTCAGTCTCGTCATTCTTACAGAGCAACGCATAATCGTCGCTTTTAATGCTCGGTAGGATCAACGCTAATTTTCTCAAACATCGATGCTGTATTTTGTTAGAAAACTCCGATTATCAATTATCTACTTATCCGAGTCGTGTTATCGAACGATCTTCCCAACAAATGCAGTTCAAATGGAAAAATTGTCGCGTTTAATGGTTGTTGTTGTTGTTGTTCTTTCCTGGCCCACTGACGATTGAAACAAACGAAAACAGAGCAAACCGAAAAACAACGGGGAACGGACGCCAATGGCCGACCGACAGTCCATTGTTTATCAATCGTTTATTAAGTTTCGGGCAGTCTAACCGCTCGCGCAAAAAAATAATTTCCTCTTCGATTCGTTTCGTTCTCTGTTTTTGCCCTGGATCGTTAAAATCGAATATGATTGTACTGGCGGAAATAAATAAATTCGACGTTTCGATTCGAACGAACAAGTTTTGGTCTCGCTTGAAGACGCTATCTTGGAACGAATTCCGCGCGCGTCCAATAAAAATATGTATGCACTTCTCGCTAACGAATTCACGCGAAACAGGATTGTTGTTCTCGAGAGTGTACCCGTCACTCGGTGTTTTTGGTGCCGTTTCCCAGCCCCGGGAAACAAGAGGAGAAGCGCGGAGAAGCGCAGAGGAGCGCGGCCGTCGTCGCCGCGGCCGTCGAAGAGATTCGATCGTACGAATTTTCATTCGACTAGAAACAAACGATAAAACCGTCCCCCGGGGCGCGTTCTACGTCTCATAAAAATAAGTATGTTGTATCCCATTGGGATCGATAAATAGTTTCGTCGCGGATACGCAAGTTTAGAGCTGCTTTACGACGAGCACGTGACTACGATGCTTTGTGCACGCGTTTTGCATCGTTATTCCCACTGGATTCTCTGGTTGCCTATACTCATTGCTCCCGCGATTCTGCTGACTCTAATCTCCCAGTTAACGAGATTTTTGGCGGAGAATTATGCGCGGCACCGTCGAAATTGCGAGCTAGACTTGAGTTAAGGGAGGATTTTTGCGACGGCTATCGTTTTTTGGTCGGTTGGACGCTGATCTATAATAAATGTGGATTTTTATAAGCCGTTGCTTATTGACTGCACTAGTTGCAGCATTAATCTTGCAGTTAGCGAGATTTTTGGTGTGAAAATTGGGTTATTTTTAACTATGTTGAGCTAATATATTATTAGTTAATATATACTATTATTTATATTTATGTAAATATTTATATTACATATTTATACATTATTATTATATTTTTAATATATTGATATTAAATAATTAATAATATATTATATAAAGTAAATTCGCGCATCTCGGTGGCCATTTTCGATCAAAGCCTCTAATATAAAAAAGATCCACAGTGATTGAACCTTCAAATCACCATAAAAAAGATATTAGACTTGAAAGGTGCCATTTTCGTCACGCGAATTTTGGCGACAAATCTGAATATTTCCACGGCCATTTTGGAAGTTCTTCTGAATAGATTTCTAAGTCTCCCGCGAAAAGTCAAATTTCCAAGATGACTTTTCATGCGCTTCTGAAATTTTGGCGGTAAATTTGACCGCTCCAGCGGCCATTTTCAATCAAGCAGAGCCAAGAATTAGCGATCCGCGTTATAGCATTAATCTGTTCGTTCATGGGGCTGCGAGTTTATTGGCAGTTTCGCAGAGACAGACAACCATCTGACACGTAGGTGTTTGACCGATTGGCCTGCCATCATCCCCCCACCCCCCACCCCTCTCTCTCTCTCTCTCTCTCAGCGCGATGGTCAACAAATTATAGCTCGCCGATATCGGAGCAGTGTTGATTACTGTTTTACTATCCTGTCATCGGTGACTTTATTTCCATTAGTCTGTGCTCCCGTTTCAACCTATCATCTACCTCTCGCCATTTATTCCGCTTAGCAACACCTTTGGGAGGTGGTGCCCGCTTCTGCGAGTACAGCCGTGCCGTGACGTTCCTGAATATTTATTCGCGTCCCGGCGAATTATGGCTTCGCGAATGTTGGACAGTTGTTCGGACGGAAGATAAGTCGTGTTTCAGAAGCTTCGCAACCAAGTCTGCCGGCAATTTCTGCGAATCTCGTCGATTTTTGTTTCTGTCGCCGGTTAACGATGCTTTTAGACACCCGGTATATTTTGCAGTCTCTGGTATCGTCGACATTGTGTTCGTACGTGTTGACATTGAACTGTTCATTGTTACCGTCGGTATCTTTTTATTTATCTTCGTTAATCTTTCATTTAAAATTGTTTATTATTGTCGTCAATGTTTGTATTCTTCTCAAAATTGATTATCATTATTGTCAATTTTAGTTCATATATCGTTTATCATCTCTTCACAGATATTAAATTATTTATTATTTTCTTTTTATTTATCTTCGCTAATATTTAAGCTTTCATCTTAAATTGTTTATTATTGTCGTCAATGTTTATATTCTTCTCAAAATTGATTATCACTATTGTCAATTTTAGTTCATATATCGTTTATCATCTTCACAAATATTAAATTATTTATTATTTTCGTTAATATTTATCTTTTTATTTATTTTTATCTTAATATTTAATCTTTCACCTTGAATTGTTTATTGTTGTCGTCAATGTTTATATTCTACTCAAAATTGTTTATCATTATTGTCGGTCTTAGTATTTGTTCATAAATTATCATCTTCATCNAATATTTAATCTTTCACCTTGAATTGTTTATTGTTGTCGTCAATGTTTATATTCTACTCAAAATTGTTTATCATTATTGTCGGTCTTAGTATTTGTTCATAAATTATCATCTTCATC